GGTAGTAATTTTAGAGACAACAGATCTTTAAGCACAGGAGGACAGCGTGTACAGCAGATTGCAAACTTTTCTTGGTGAACATACTGCTCCTAGTGGTTTAGACTGAAATTTAACCCATCTGTTATATCAATAATTGGTAGATTTATACCAAAAATGTACATTTGAAATTAGAACATAGCAGGTTTTTAGATTCTGTATAGAAATACCGGAATTGTGTGAATAGGTTTCCCATGAAGATGCTGCAAAGGTACCTCACTTTAAACAGAAGACCTGATGGTATCGTATATAGTTGGTGTAGTGCAAAAGGATATTTTACAGCATCTTGAAAGTGCTAGTCTCTTTTATGTTAAGGAATCAGAGATTATACTAATAGAGCTAAATTCTAGAGAATCTGGACCAAGGGTTTCTGATTTCAACTACTAAAAAATCAGCAACCTTGCAGTACTACTCCGTAACTCCAGAAGGGCTTATTGTAAGATGCTTTGATTGTAGAGAGCTGGACCTAAAGACCACCAAAGCCATGGAACGATCTTCATTAGCTTTAATGTTCTTTAAAGCAGACCAACAGTTATTTGACTACAAAGAAATATCAGCTGATTTGATGTTTCACTAAAAAACCTGCAAAAATATATCTGTCAATAATTTGTACACTCTTCAGAAAGAGATAAGGGGATGAGCGTATAAAGTCTTCATATCAATTTGCAGAAAAATGATTTATCTTAAAACCATGCAAAAGTTCCTGTCCAATATGGTGGTTAACTGTGCTTGCCCCTTTGTTGTCATCATAATCTACAGGCTCTGTGGTGGTCTCAAGAATCAGGTTTAAATTGCCTTGAACTGCAGTTTCAAATATGAGAGGACTGGGGGTGGCTGGTGACCTCCCTTGGGCTACTGAGGGAATTTCAACCTCTTCCTGAATGTCAGTGGCTTCAAAGATGTTGAAAACAGGGGCATCCACATGTACGTGAAATCTAGCAGGTTTCCCTTACATCTTTTATCAAAATGCTCTTCACCTGCATCATGTTAGAGGCTGAACATTAGTTGTATGTCAGCTGAAGAGATATACAAAATAAAGAATGATGTGAGTTCAAAATGTGGCAGCTGTTTTAGTGCAGTCATAAGCAGTATTGTGTTTTCAAGTAAATATGAAGGAATTTTGTATACTGCTGTTTTATAATGGAAAGGGGCATATAGTCTTCTCAGAAGGTCTGTATTAAGTGGTTTACCTCATTCTCTCTAAGTTTTATTCATCTCTTCACCTGAAAGTTACTATAAAATTTTCACATGCCTCTTTTCTATCTCTCATTGGTTCAAAATGACAAAAATGTGATCCTGCCTTGTAATTTTTGACATGTGAATCACTTCTTTTTCTAGATTAGAGGCTTGCTTCTTTTCTGTTGTTTTACACAGGGGTAGTTCCAGTATAGTTACTTTCTGCTTTACATCACTGTGAAGTGAAAGAAATGCCAGACTGAGGCTGTGAATGTTCAGTGTCAAACAACACTGGAACTCTTTCATGGAATCATAGAATGGTTTGGGTTGGAAGGGACCTCACAGATCATCCAGTTCCAATGCCCCTGCCATGGGCAGGGACACCTTCCACTGGACCAGGTTGCTCAAAGCCCCATCCAGCCTGGCCTTGAACACTGCCAGGGAGGGG